GGAACGGGCCGTTCCGAGGCCATTCCGGGTTCCACTGGCAGCGAAAATGCCCTGCATAATCGATTATGCTTGGCCACATAATCGATTATGGCCTTGCATAATCGATTATGCCTCACCCATAATCAATTATGCAAGGCCATAATCGATTATGTAGCCAACCATAATCGATTATGCTCCTTCGTATATACCAAATGAGATCAAACTTACCTTCAATGGAGGACCTCCTTCCACAATCACTCACCACCAACACCCACCAGCCACCACCAGCCACCACCAGCCACCCAACGTCGAGAATCAGCACCAGCCCGTGGAGAACGTGAACGTGAATCCTCTGCTACATGGCACATGCATGGGAGGGGCATTTTCGGATTTTCACAAATCCTACGTGTCTTTCACCTCCTTTCTTTGCTTTTGTGCGAGGATAGCAACAGTGCTTCTCCCCACTTTTCTTCGCCTTTCTTTCGCTCCAAATCACGGGAAACAAACACATACTTTCCTCGCCTTTCGTTGCTCGTAAACAGTACATCCCCGGAAACAAACACTACCTTAGAGTTAATGGTCCTTAATTAAAGGATAAGCTTCCGTACATGCAGTAGATAAAATCTGTTGCAGATTTTTTTCTCTAACCATAAATATATATAAAAATTTAATATAATTTCATTAAACACTTAAAATGTAACAATTTAAATATATATATATACACACTTTATAATAATAATATAATTAAAGTATTATTCTGAAAAATATTATAAATAGGATTTTTTCTTAAAAAAATAATTATAATGTAATTGAATATTATATATTTCTATTTTAGTTTACTAAAAATATAAAAATTTTAAAACATTAAAAATAAAAAACTATACTTATTTAAAAAATATGATAACTAAAATTTTTGATTATCACTTTAAAAATAAGATAATGACTAAAATTTATAATATTATATTAAAGTGTCAAAATATTACATCAAAACCTTGTTGAACATCTCGGAAGTCAAAATTTTTGTTGGTGAAATTATAAAGAAGTATGTAGATATGATAAAGAAGTGTATATATAGATGTAATAAACATGTTTTGAGAGCTCAATTGAGCCAAATGAGGCTTTCTCAAAATATTACATGTAAATGTTCCACGTCTCACCTAAACGATGTAAATATGCAATTAAACGACTATTGGATTAAATATTTCACGTCTCCGCATAATAAGGTAAGTGTGCAATTGAATGATTATGGAAGAAAGTTTCACGCCTTAAGTAAACCAAAAATTGATACAAATTCTGTTATGAAAAATGTGAATTAAAAAAAAAACACAAGTCACCCATTAATGCTATTTATGTATAATTAGGAATTTTTAAAAAATCGCTTTATTATAATTTCTATTGACAAGTTTTTTTTTTATATATACCAAATTTGCATTTTTTTAATTTTAATTTTTTTTAATATAAATACATATTAAAAATTTAGCAAATTAAAAAAAAAGTCCGAACATGGCATAGGTCAACCATCTAGTTTTGGTTATACATTAAAAAGTTAAACCTCATCTCAAATTGTTACACAACAAAGTATTGTTTTTGTCAGACATTATAAGTAGTTTTGTAAAAAAAAAAATGAGGCTTATGATATATATATATATATATATTTTTTTTTTTTTTAAGTACACTTTTTTTATTTTTAAAAAAAATTATAAAATATTGTAGTTTTTATTTTAATTTTTTTAATTTTACACTTCTAACTTTTAGTTTGTTACTTTCTTTTTCTTTTTCACATATTTTTTTTTCTCTTTTAATTTCACATGCTACCAAAATTGGTAGGGTGAAAGAAAGGTAAAAGAGTGCATGTAAAAATTGAAAAAAAAAAGGAATGATGTGTGAAAAAAAATACTAAATTAAATTTTACAGATGTAAAATTAAAAAATTAAAAAGTTAAAAATTAAAAATTAAGAATATTTTAGAACTTTAATTATTTTTTTTTAAAAAAGAGGTGTAATTATAGAAAAAAGAGGTGTATATTGAAGAATAGCTCATGATATATACATCTCCTTTTTTTTATAATACATTTCCTTTTAAATTTTTTTTTATAAATATTATAATTTTTTTTAAAAAAATTTAATTTTACACTTTCAACTTTCAATTTGCTATTTCTTCTTCTTATTCACACACTTTTTTTTTTCCTTTTAATTTTTACATGTTACAAAAATAGGTGGGGTGAAGGAAAAATAAGGGAGTACATGTAAAAATTCAAAAAAAGAGGAAAGATGTGTGAAAAAAAAGTAATAAATTAAATGTTGTGGATATAAAATTAAAAAATTTAAAACATAAAATTAAGAATATTTTAAAATTTTAATTATTTTTTTTAAAAGAGGTGTACTTATAGAAAAAAGGAGGTGTATATATCATGAACCCTGAAGAAGAAAGTTGAAGGCCCATTCAAACAAAGTGTATCTGTGGGTACGGGTCTAGGCCCAAAGAACAACAAGTTAAAGGCCCATTATCCCTATGGAACCCGATTTCAAACTTTCGGATTCGGACCCATGCTTTTGGTTTCGCCACTTCTGAACACGTTTCTCTCGCTTCTTCTCTCTCTCGCCGTCGTCGTCGCCAAGTTCGTGTAAACTCTCTCTTTCACTCTCTCGCTTCGTTCATTTATCTATGCAGAAACTGCATGTGTTTGTTATTTGTGGCGAATGAACTCCCTTCACGGCGTCACTAAGACCTGAATGTTTTCAAAGTTTTCTTAACGGAATCGCGTGTTTTCTCGCTGCAGTTAGGTTTCGCGATAGAATGATAAAGAGGAGGTTCTACAAGCTCGACCACGGTGATCGTGATGCCTCGGATCCGTCGTCTTCATCCTCGGACTCCGAGCTTGAAGTCGAACCTGAAGCCTCTGAAGAAGAATTGGATGACGATGCAGTTGCAGAAGTGGAACCGAGCGATGACGAAGCTGGTTCAACTTCTTCTGGTTGGTTTATTCACATTTTGTTAACTGTACATTGTATATGTTTAGTATTATTAGCACTTAGCAGACACATAGAATTGCATTAGCTGATGTTGTTATTATTATCATTATTATTATTTTAATTATGGAATCAGATGGAATTCAATGTTAGAGCAACATAAACTAATTAAATTAATTCTCATTATAACGGTGTTTGTAATTTGTTGTTATTAGTCACTTATTTACGCTTTATGTTTTTTATTTTGGCACATTCAGGGTATAAAAGCGAGGATAGTTCTGCGAATGATATTGATGTCAACTCAGCAGGTAGGGTTTGCTTGTGCACACTAACACATATTTGTGTTTATCAGTGAGGAAGTAAGTTATGTGATTGCTCATTGATATTAATATTAGAAGTGGGATGATATTAACTGTTATCATCCTTAGGGTTGGACCTTGGATCTTTTCATTTTAATTTTATTAAATTAAATGAATAAGTTTTTGCTGATATGTACTCAACAAAAAACCTTGATGCAGATGATTTAGCTTTCCACTAAGGTTGAAGTGTGCTTGAGACACTTGAACTTTTGCTCTTATTCAAAATTTACTTCTCATTTTATTTCTGTATGTCAATAAGATGTCTATTTCTGGAAGATAGCATCCATTGTATTGGTTATTTTTTATAACCTTCATGGCTCTATTCCTTGGAAAAGAATCCTTTCATGATTGTTTTAACATTGATGTAACATCAGGTCAGCTATTTAGTGAAGATGATGCTGGAGCTTTAAATGAAAGACAAATGCTTATTAACAGGGAGTTGCTGAGTAAATGTGATACTGAAAAGTCTAATGTCTTGGCTGAAAAGAACTCCTTACCTACAGATTTGCCATCCTATGTCTTAAAATGCAAATCAGTATTTAAGTGCAGGATATGTCCCCGAATTGTCTGTTTATCTGAGGACACTTTGCGGGATCATCTGCAATCAAAGGTGATGTGCCTTTTCTTTTGGTGGCTTATTATGCTTTTGCAACAGCTTTTACTATTCATAGTGCTTCTTTAGTTTTTACAAGAAATCCATAAACTCCTATCATATTTATTCTCCCCAAAATCTATCAATTAATGCATTTATTACATTCATTTGGCTGGAAATTCAGTACCGGCTTTGAACTTTGAACTGGGAAAGGAATATACGGCGATAAGTTTACAGTTATTTACATACTCTGGGATAAGAGTCATAGGACTAGCACACTCGGGATCCTATGACACATTGCTACAATTTTTTATATGGTCCCTTGTTGTAAGCACAAAAGTCTTTCACCCATGGAGTGTATAGCCAATATGAGGATAGATGTTGATATATATTGGTGGCAACAAGTGTAGATTAGTAAAGTAACAAAACGAGGATAAATGTTAGTGTGAAGGGAAATTATGATCTTCTTTAAGTGATTGACAGTAGGGTCAAAATGGCATGGATTTCTGCATAGGACGTGGTCAATGTAGTCCTTAGATTGGTTGACTACAAACATGTATTTATAGAGCATTTCCTTGTCATTGTGTAAAGCTTCTTAGTTCTTATTGATGTATAGAAAGACTTGTTATTACCGTAGAGACATGCTCGATCTGAAAAACTACTAAATGAAGGAAGACTGAAGGCTATGCTCAACAGTGATGGTGAAATTGAGAACCAAGAAATCGCAGAGATTCAAACTAAAGATATTGAGGTTGGTTCTACAACAGTTCAATTGCATTCTACTGCAGCTAAGCTAAATAAAAATTTACATGTTATTGAATTGAACATGCTTGGAAAACTAATTAATTTCTGACTTTTTCAGGATAATGCTGAGAAGAATCACAAAGGGCAGAAGCAGCATAAAAAGAGATTGAGAAAGAAGGTAAAGAACACTAATATTTCATTTAAAAGGCAGTGTTTACATTGAAAATTTCAAACTTTGATGAAAATGTTTTGAATGGCAGAAAAGTGACAAAGCAAAAACAAGGAAAATGCCATCAACGAAAGAACCAGCCAAGAGAAGGCGTAAGAAATGACAGCTCTAATCTGTAGTATTCAGCATTTCGTGGAGCAAATTTTCCCGCCACTACAACTTGCTTTCGTGTGAAAGTCTGCGTAGTAAATATGCTCTACCGATGGTGTTTTTTGAGCCCGCCTTCCCCATCTGTTCTATATTTTCCTTTTCTCATTCCCTCTTTGATTTGTTCAACATTGCCCTCTGCTTCCTTCAATGTTTTTCAAGAGTATTTATTTTTGCTTTTGCCGTGGTATACAAATGTAACCGAAATCAAAGTTGTCTTTTACTAAATAGATTATCTGAGGTTAACTTTATTTGTGATTTGGTCAGAAAATGTTGAATTGTATTACATATTGAACACGGACTGTGATGCCTTATAAGAATCTAATGATAACGGTAACCGAAATCAAAGCTGCCTTGTAAAGAGTTCTTCAGTTCTAGCGGCCAGTTGGAAGCTACACTTGGATCACTTCCAAGCTCTTGAGGGACTCGGTAGGAACAAATTGATAAAGAAAAAATCGGAGGTGGGATAAACGTTGATAGACGATTACGGTGTCATTGTAACATTAAACAAATTTTGCTATCATAATTATAGTGAAAAGTTTTAATTGTTAATTTATTCGAAATTACAATAAATTAAAATGTATGAATATGTACGGTAATTTTTGAGATTAAAGTCAATGATCTTGATTTTTCTAATTCACGGTTTTGACTATATACTTCTGTATAAAGTCAATACCTTATTTTAAATAAGGTAAATATGCATTTAATGATATTTAGATAAGTCAAATTTCCATTTGATTACATATAAACATCCGCATATCAATGGTTATGAAAATCAGATGCTTGTTTAGTTGTATAATAAAAGAAAAAAAAAAGAAATATATTTAAAGAACGTTAGAAGTATTTTTTTTTAATTTTAAACAAAACTAAGGTATAGTAGTTTGCGTTTATATTTTATAATCATAAAGAATATAATGATATTTTTTGATTTTTACATTTTCTTTCCAAATATAGAAAGAAAAGGTTTTGGTGTAAGAGTCTCCGAAATTTTCTTTTCCTTCTTTCTTTTGTTTTATACCCTAGGAGGGAATTATTTTTGATATGTGTAATCTTTCTTTTCTTTGCTCTTCCTTTAATTTGCTTGCATTCGAAACTCTATAAAAATGCCCCAATATGAAAATTAGGTTATTCTATTTACACGTCACTCATATGGTGCATTCTTGGGATGTGAATCTTGCAGCATATGGAGCCTGGCTGGAAGTGGAACAGATTAACTTGTATCAATCCTCTGGACATCACCCCATCTGTGCGTTACCTTTCAAGAAAAAGAAGGAGAGCATATGCGTCCCACATGTGAAATAAATTGTATATTGGTTTTGGCGCCAGAATTGTAAGAAAGAAAATCCCATCCCATTCGATTTCTTCCAAATGTGATCACTCTTCCAACGTGCATGGATTCCCAAACCCTAGACTCCACCGATCTCTTCCTGGCCGCCCTCAAAACCCTGGAACTCTCTCCGCCACCCTCACCCTCCCTCCCTCCAATCCCCCCCTCCGTCCCCCACTCCAAGCTCATTCCCCACACCCGCTTCCTCGTCGACGCCTTCCGCCACGCCGGTCCCCACTCCCACTCCTACTTCCTCTCCCACTTCCACTCCGACCACTACGCCCCACTCTCCCCCTCCTGGTCCCGCGGCCCCATCTTCTGCTCCCCC